CTGTCTTAGAAACTTTGAACCTGGAAGCAGCCTGCTGCTCAGTGTAGCCTCTGCTAGCAGAACCAGGATCAAACCAGGGTTTAAAAATGCAGATTTTTCAACAATACAGAGTGGTCTCAATTTTTTTCCCCAGAGCTGTATATCTGAATGCAGACTGGTGCAGAAATAGTGAATTTTATATATATTTTTAGCCAGTGGTATTTTTCGTGATGAATACTTATTTCACTTTAATGAAAATGTATTCCAAGCATATTTAGATATGCTTAATTAAATTTAAAAAAAAAACCTAAGATGTTCTCAGTCTTTAAATTATATTCTAATTAAAGTTTTAGCACTTAAGGGTTTGCATTGCACTGGCTGTGGAACTGGAACGAGGAAAGCAAACGTGTTCTTGCTTCCATATTTAAAAACATGATCCCATTGCTTAATCTCTCTTGCTGCTTCTATGGCCTGACCATAATCGGTCAGTGTCAGCTGAAGAACCATCTGGCCATAGCTGCAAAAAGGACCCCACCCCACCCCATCCCACCAAGCAGGCTTTGCAGTTCAGTGCACTCAGGGGGGCGCTGTTGAGTGTCACTTTCCATGCTCAATGACCGACGCTCATAGGGAACCATCTTGTCCGCCCCCCCCCCCAGATGAGTGTTGATCTCACAGCCAGATGGTAGGGATCTGGTGATCACAGTTGTGAGTGGCGCAGCTCAAAATCCACCCTCATCTCCATTCCAGCCTTTCCTCAGGCCTCAAGGGGACGTGGGCTCCTGCGAGATCCGACCTCTTACAATCACCTGTCACGGAACCTGCCTCCTGACCATTGTCTGAGCAGCTACGAGCGGCAGGGACACACAGGAACCTGATGTGGACCTGCCAAACTTGAAGGTCCCTCAGGATCTCTGCCATGCATTTTCCTCATTTTAAGTGTGAGGAACCTGAAACTGAATGTCGGCCGGCGATTCTTTCCTTTACCTTCTCATCTCCTGCTTCTACCCTTCGTGGCCAAAATTGTGGAAACACCTGCATTTCTGGCATCATGCTTTAAAAATTACTACACAAATACTGGTTGTAATGTTTATAAACAAAGAATGTTACAAATATCATACATTGGACATTAAATAAGTAAACGGAGCAACAATTGAATAAAGTTCTGCAATCTCTAAAAATCAGAAGTGTTTCCATAATTTTGGCCACTAGTGTAACTGCATGTCGTGTCTCATCAGCAGACATCCGGGTCTGAACCATTGGCATCATTAGATCCGATCACTTAGGGCCATAGCCGAGTATTTGTAAGTCTAACCCCCAGCATTTGTAAGCCTAACCCCCAGTATTCGTAAGCCTAGCCATGAGTATTTTCGCATTGAAAAAAGGAGGGTCTGTCTGCGAATGGAAAATCAACTTCACTTGCAACGTCCGAAGGACGGGGAGTAATCAAACGCTACTCAGTGCACAAAAAGTTGGAAGTCACACGCTGCCAGATGAAAGGCTCCAGTTTTAAAAGCCTATTTAGCCTTCTTGGCTATTTCAAAAAGAAAACTCAAGGCACTGTAAATCATTGAATGTGGGAATGCAATTCAGTTCAGAAAGACTTCCTCTATTGACATGACCATAAAAAGAGTTACTTCTTAGAGTGACTAGTTGAAGTTATAAAACATTTCCTCCACAAACATCTTCAAAATACCTACAAATACCTACAAAAACCAAGAAAGACTTTGTGCCAGTTTTTCCAGTGTCATACTTGACACTTGACAATGACAGTCCTTACTATAAGGCCACTAATCTTGATAACAGACCCAACATCCAGTGATCCAGCCTTCATTCATTTTTGTTGCTGTAATGGCAACGGGACTGTTTTTGTTTTCCAGCAAAAACTTTGTAATGAGCAATAATATAATCCAATAATAATGGATGGTGAAAAGAAAGACCAATCAGCATCAGCATCTGGATAGAGAACATCAAGCTAAAACACTGGACGGCCCCCCCTCACTGGCAGCGTCGGCAGGGGCGGATTAACGCACAGGCTAGATATGGCTTAAGCCTAGGGGCCCCACGTGTGCCAGCCTGCAAGGGGGCCCCCCATTGGCGCGGAGCGGGGCTGGGTTGGGGGGCCCACAGACTACTGTAGCCTAGGGGCCTCCGTACACCTTAATCCGCCCCTGAGCGTCGGTGACAAGCCACATGATCGTTAACGTCACCTGACCCTGTGCTGAACATATCAGTCATTTCAGAACATCTTCCAGCTTCTCTTTTCCTTATTTCATTTCAGAAACGCAGCAAAAATGAGCCATTTAGCTAAATTAAACACAGTGTTTTATTTATCATGATGTCAGTGTGATATCGATATTTGGGTGACGGGGATGTCATGCCACACGGGGGGGGGACCAGGCTGCCTGTGCATTTTTCAGTAAAGCATCTAGTTTGTATCACTATCTGCTTATTTAAATGTCGATCCTGAATGACCAGGCCACTGGCAAGCCCCCCAGGACCCCCGACGCCCAGTCCGGGCTTGTGTACAACTGCGTGTCCTTCTGGGGGGTTTCGGATAAAGTGGCTTGCTGGGGGCCTGCGGCAGGATCCTTGGCGGCTCGACCTGCTGCCCCCAAATCCCCACCCAGCTCCTCACAATCACACTGGTCCACAGCCACTTACTTGCCTTGTGGTTTTAGGTTCCCCGCCCTTTCAAAAAGCTACGTCCTTTTTGAGTTATTCCGGTACGACTCTCTGCTGGTGAGACAGTCGGCCTGGGCGTGGTGCCCTGACATCGCCGACCCAGTCCCCAAGGGCTGTCCCATTCACCCACTCCGCAGTCTCTCCGGAAAGGCTTCGCTCAAAACCATGCTTCCACGATACAGAGGGAGCCATCTTTGACTGGATACCCAGCATGCCCTGCTCCCAAGGGTTAACCAGCCATGAATACTGAAAGGATCAAAAGAAAAAGTATCAAAGTAAAATACAAAGCAGCACAGAGTCCAGCCAGGGAACTCTAATATCTCCCTTCAAACCTAAAAAAATTCCCCACACCTATTCTCTTCCATGCGATATTATACTCTCAGCCAATCACATTAACACATACGGTGCTGTAACCACTCACAAAAGAAAAAGGCTGCATGATCGCCAGGCATCCACTACTAATATCCACAAATGCAGTTAAACTGGACAAAGAGGACACTCAGCTTTCTGCCAGACTTACGGGTTTCTTTTGGGCCACATCAGTCAGACTCATACGCGAGAAAACCACACACTGAGACACACAGGACTGGCAAGTACAAATATTTTAAGCACAAAGTAAAATTCAGAATATCATGACTGTCAGTTCAGAGTTAATTTCGAAGTCAAATCAATACTGTAGTTCATTGGTCTGAGACATGAATGAAGGCAAAATCTTGCTGTATTTTGCAGATATCGATTTTACAGGCTGGGGTGGGGGCGGGGGGGGGGGGGCTCCCCTTCCGAAGATTCTGCTAATTGGGGAAGCCAGGGGGCCACTATCCAGAGGCAAACTTCAAGGGGGATTTGTGATTCGTGACGTTACAGCCTGGCTACGTGCCTGAGATCTGGGATCACTGGTATACAATTTAAGATTTATGAATAATTTTGGGATTTATGTTCTTTCCCTCTCAAGTCTTGAGCAGAGTCTCGACAAATACACAAATGGATACACAAATGTCTGACCTTACAAGAACATTACTGTCCACCATTAGTCTCCCAGTCCTCTGAAGGGGGGGGGGGTGTCTTTAATATCTAAATGATTTTCTGTTCATCCTCAGTAAAGCCTTTCAAGAAGTACAGAGCCAACATCCCCAGCTCTCCAAAATGAAAGGTTCACGAAAACATCTGCGCGGGGTGCAGAACCACCCCAGAGCTAACAGCTTGCAGGTCCAGGAATATCAGATTTTTCAGGCTTCAGAACTCCTGGTAGGTAGTCTGAGCACTTCCTGCATTTTGAGTGGGGGCTTGGGAGGGGGGTTAGACGTCCTCATCTGTGAACCCAATCTCTTCTTACACCCAAAGCATGCACTCCATTGTCTGAAATGTTCGTGTTTTTCTCTTGAACTGTCGCCATCTACAGCTGGAACACTAGAACTGTCAAATAGGTAAAATCCACATTTGGCTTGGCGCAAGAAATTTTGCGTGAAAAAAATAATGCTAATACAGATCTAAATAATTATACGTTGTTTCACCATTGACCAGGGTAAGCGCATGAGTGATGGATCAATATCGTTTTACGAAGTCTAACTTCGTCTAACCGAGGACGTTAGTGAAGCGTTCCCACTCCCAGCGATCCAGTTCCGAAACGAAACGCATGGAGTCCTGGCGGCACCAGAACCCGCGTAGCTCAGGCCTCGGGTCACGGTGGAGGGGCGCTGACACATACGGCGGGGGGCTGCACACCCGTGGAAGAGTTAAAAAACCATGTATCTGCATTTCAGCCATTAACTCTGTGACCCACAAAACTCATTACACAACGAAGGCTCCTTTTTCCTTGATTTCCGTTCAGAAACAGGTGTTTACTTGGTGCTTGCAATAACTATAAATCTTTAATAATTTGTCACAACTTACTGCAAGATTTGTTTATAGGCATCAACGTTTGTTTTAAAAATTAAGTCAACCTTGAATTGTTACAAGAGCACAATTCTCGTCTTAGAGATCGCATGAGACACAATGATCCCCAAACAGCCCCGGAGCGAAATGATTTACTGTCTGATATGTAGAACATTCTAGATGTGGGATAATAAACGAATAGGTGCATCTTCAAAATAGTTTTTTTCCTGGCAACAAGCTCCATAAATTGCTAAAACACAACAAAAAAAATCAAATGGTTCTCTTATCAGCAACTGCGGGCAACTTACAATGTTTACTTGCATTGCAAAAAAAAATGTATCACTCTCCGTGCGGGTTTAATTTTTCAGTTTTAGTATTTATTGATATACTAATCAATAGCAACAGGACTAACAAGCGCTACTTTCTCCGCGTTAACCCAAAACACTTGTCTTAATATAATTTATTCATGTGTGTACGAGTATAACCATACTTAGTAAGTGGAGCACACTAGCTGGCACGATTCATGTCATCTAAAAATTACCTTCTGACCGCACATCCAACAAACAGCGTAACGAATTGTGATCAGGATTTGAATGATACGATGCTGCCCCCTTGTGACAGAATCATGCAGAGACATTTTCCTGTATCGGTTTTATTCCAGGCATCCCCGCATCCGTCATGTGTTTTAAGGAGACTGATTTCTTTTCTTCAGTCTTCAGTTTTACTACAGCCTTGCTTTTCTGAATACCAACATGGTGAAACAATAATTGCAAAAACCACAGGACCTATATAAAAGACACGTCAAGTAAAAGGACATGCTAACTTGATATAATTAGTAGGGTGACTAGATATCCCGGGAAAGTCCCGATTTCAGGTTATGTATCCCGGTGTCCCGAAAAATAACTGACATATAGTAATATTTCCGATTTTAACACATTGCCTATCTCAAAATAGTTAATACGCGGCAAACAGACCAGCTAACACGCACATCAAACCGCCAATCACATAATAGAAAAGTAACACCCTCCATTGCTTCTTACAGCTGTCAACAACGGCTTTTAGATCACAATTGGTCGTTTATACTCCCAGACTGTGTGAAAGGAGCCTTAGGGCTTTTCCAGCTTCCAAGAAATGAAGCAGATGAAGATGCTAATCCGCGCTGTGAATCCCATCAAATAACCGTGCGTTTTCAGTAAGGCGCTGCAGCTAGAGCCCCTTTTCCTTAATCCAACACCGCAATAGCGAATGTTTATGCAATATTAAACGCATCGAGTTTGTCCATATTAGGGCTATAAGCGATATATCGACTTATCGGCATATACAAGTTAAACGATAAGATAAACTGTCGATAAGGAACATTGCTTGACACACAGTTGACACCTTTATGAACGGACAACCTGTGGCCACCAAACGCAGTGTCGGTGCAGAAGGCAACAGCTACGAGAGAAAAAAAAAAAGTTTAAAATCAGTAAGTTTTAGTAGTTTAATATAGTTCAAGTTCTGCTAGCCACGCGGCAGGCCATGAACCTAGAAGGGAACGACTCCTGGGTGCATCTGTTGCTTTGTAACGAAGCCGGGCCAGACGTGATGTCCTACCAGCTGCTGGGACGACGGGAGGGAATGGGCTCATTCCCAAAATTTTGGGGCAGCCTCCATCCGGGGAGGCTTCCCTTCTGTTCCCGGAACTCCACTGATCAAGAAGACGAATGGGACCTGCCCTGGACACTGCGACATGCTACCCGAGGATGAAAAGACACGTTGAGGATAATGTGGTTCTGCAAATATGTTGGGTATATCATTACTGAGCCAAAACACTAAGAGTGTGTCCATAGTTAACTGAGAAGGTCTGCACTTCGATAGTACTTACGTTCCCGATGCAGTTCAGGACCTCCAGGAGGTGACCAGCACTGAAATATAGAATATCCACAAGGAAGACTGGTTGTTTGATCATGGCTGGGATACTTGGTTAGGGGATCTATTCCCCAACTTCAAAGGCACGCCGACTATATCGTTGATGGTAGGTTTGCTGTCTGCCAGCTGTGCTACTGTCTTAGCACTTTGATTCCAGAACAGCAAAGCAGATGGTGTCCAGTCTTCCTGTGAAGGTAGAAATCAGTCCTGTGTGTCACGACTGGGGAAGGAGAGAGGCGAAGGCAGATGTCAGAGAAAGCGGAAGGGACTTTGTTCCAACCAAAACACAATACAAAGGGCAAAAGGAAACAGACCGTGAGGGGTCAAAACCAGGCTGGGGGAGCAGGGGGTAGCACAGGGTAACCAGAGGGGTAGCACAGGGTAACCAGAGGGGTAGCACAGGCAGGCAGCTGGATCACACACCCAACAATACAATGACTGGACTGGGGAGCTCAGGACGAGGAGGCACTACATACACCACAGATGAGGAGCAGACGAGAGGCACCTGGGATCATCCACACGAGGGCTGACACATGAGGCAGGGTTAAACGAGGAACAGGTGTGGCACGGGGGGAACAGGCATACAGAGCATGACGCTGTGCTAGAGGTGTCAGTGGAACAGTGCTTCAGGTTTAGCATGTTTGTTGGGATTTCCTGATTGGAGTGAAATACGTGGTGTTCTGTACCTGAGTGTGAGCAAGATAAATCATGCTGGGAGGGGTTAAAATTCATTTTAGTACTTTAGTAGTTTAATTTGAGTAGTTTAGGTTGCATTTACTCTCATGTATACTTCAATTATCCATTAATAATATTAACCAGAATATATTTTAGCAAAAGAAGGGAAGTGTGGGTACTGTGACCTAGAGTGGCCTGAGAAAAGAAGATGTTTTGCAGCTGGAGCAAATGGGATGCAGAGGAGGCATAGAAAGAAGAGATAATGGTAGTTGCTAGGGCAACTGTCCAAGGTTGGAGCCAAGAGAGACAAAATGTTTTAGACAAACAGATGGTCAAGGTAGTGTGTTTGAGGGAGAACTAACAGGGAATAATCAAATGTTAAGTAAACACTGCCTGACTTGCACTCAAGGACCGATTATTGACGCGTAAGGAGTAAGGAACCAATCAAATGAAATGAACAGGGCAGGGGTGTAACAGATTGCACTCGGATTTAACCACTGAAATGTATTTCGTCACTAACCAAAATAAACTGTATAAGAAGAATTGTGTAAATCATGTAGGAGATAGATTCTCCCTTTGATCAAAGAAATAAAACCGTGAAATAGAATCGGGGCCCGTCTCATGTCAGTGGTTCTTAGAGTTTGGGTGTTTTAACTTCCAGAGGATTGACAATGGTGAAAAATATTTGCAATGTAGCGCTATGACCAGAACGATTTCTAAACTGAGTATTTGCCGACATCTAGTGGACATGTCAAGGAGCACAACAACACAATCATTAATGAAAAAGCAAAACACTGAAAAACCATGTCTTTAAAGCGGTTATTTAGCCAAAACCCACCTTCAGTGCAACGATTACCATCCACCATTAATGCCCTATTAATGAATGCCAATTAAGCACAACAAACTCCTTTTTAAGTATTGTATATCTGAACTGCTGAACGTTAAGTAATGCAGCTTTTAGGAAATAAAGTTTAAACTTATCCTTAGTCTTCATTGTGTTCCGCACGTACGGATAGGTTGAATCATACCTGGATACCGGATAGGTTGAATCATGCGTACATCTGCGCATTTTTCATTGTAATATTGCACGAATCCCCTCAAGGGCTTTTTGCCAAACAATTAGCAATATTTAATTACATATCTCAGCGGCCTGAAAGTCAGCAAATACGCGATAGATAATTAAGCCCTCTTCTCAGCAGAATAGCGTATAATTTTTGTGTATAATTAATTAAACATGTGAAAAAGCTTTTTTTTTGTGAAAATGCAGACACTTAATCTCACCAACACGTGTAGCAATTTCCAGTGTTTGACAACAAAAATAGTTTTGGAAATTAAATTTTAAAGATTTTTAAAGAAAAGGTGTCACTTTGGTAAATCCTTTTTTGTCTGAATTTAAGCTGTCGGGGCTTTGTATTACAGATTACCGGTCTCCCGTTTCTTTGACACCAATACAACATTATAAATTGCTTTTTTTTGTCTCGTTTCACCCCCAGGCCCCACTTAACACGTTTTTGTCTTAATGTCTAGGTGCTACAACGTCGCTTCTATTTCTCAGTGATAGATGGCTCTGACGGGGTTGTTCAGTCTGTGTTTGTTCTTGCTTTATGTGATTTTATTGCGGGTACTCTTGTTCCTTCCCAATGTATAGTAGTACTCAGATTTCCACAAATCAAAGCGGTGACCTAAAAAAAGGCCAGAAATATTTACTTTGAAATTACTTTGAAATTTGGTAATAAGAGTGATTCTTATAACAGGAATCAAAACAAAAAAGCTATTCTGATTACTTAGAAAAAGAATATTTGTTGCTCATCCCCCACCCCAAAAGTCATCATATTTTATTTGGGGGCACGGCCCCTTTAAGATTTTCTGTAGTTGTCATGCAGTTATTTATTTATTGTTCTGTTTCCTTGAAAGTGTGACTTATCTTAGGTCTTTTCACTTGGAATGAGCCTTAAATTCACACTGTCAGAAAAACGGGTATCACCTTGTACCTTTGCTTGTCACTGGGGCTGTACCCTCAAGGGTCTGCCAATTGTACCCTTAGCTGTAGGTAATTGTACCTTTTAAAATAAAGATTATGATGAACCGTTTTGTACCATTGATGGTACATTAATGTTGTTCGTACCTTGGGTATGTTCCTCAGAGTCTATTTCTGTACCTTAAATTAGACTAAAAGGTGTATTTACCTACAGCTAAGGGTACAACTGGCAGACCCCTGAGGGTCCAGCCCCAGTGATGAACAAAGGTACAAATTGGTACTTTTTGTGACAGTGTGGAAGAAGGTATACATTGTTATTATATAGGTCAGGGTTCTTCAACTCTGGGCCTCGATTCCAAATCCAGGCCTTGTTTTCAGTTCTCCCAGGTATTTGTTTAATAATTACTGATTCTGATTGGTCAGAGGCTTCACACCTGACTGACAGGTAAAGGAAGGCTGGAAAACCAGCAGTGCTCGGACCTCGAGGACCGCGAGTTGAATAACCCTGATATAGGTAATCAAAGCACAGAAATGACACAGTGAACAGTTGGTTCAGTCCTGATAATTTATTTCCCAATACAAAAGGTTTGTGCAAATACCTTCTGAAATACATCAAAGTCCTGTGGTCATGTAACACAGTATGGAAACTGTAAACCTCCTGTAATTTTGTAAACTGAATTTTACAAAGTTATGCAATTGCCCATTAAAGAATATCTATAACATTTTTTTCGCAGAAGTCATAATATCCAGTAGCCAAGCTTCACATTCTTGTATTGGAGTGGTTTTTGAACTGGAACATTAGAGCATAAACACACGAAATCAATACAAAACTCCAGACACCTGGGTAAGTGAAACCGCTCCCATCAAAACATCAAGAGTAAGTTTTTAATTTAAAATAACTGAGCTGCATCTGTCTGAGCACATCACACATTCAGTCACCCTAGTATTAATCTTCCAAAAACTCTGGACTGACCTGTGAATATTTTCATTCTCATGTTACGCGTCTCACAATTGGCTGCATTAATGATTGTCTTCTATACAGGTGATTATTGTACCCTTGTATTAAATAGTTGCATAGCAACAAACACATTCAACCAATGAAATGTAGTTTCTTACACGGATCCTCTTGCACATTTACAGGATTTGTTGTAAATGGTTCAATCTTTCAGTCCCACACCTAAAAGGTAAAAAAGAAGCATCCAACTGTCCATCCATCTTCCAACCTATAATCCTGATCAAAGTTGCCAGTGGGGACACAGCAAGCGGGGGGGGGGCGTGGACAGGATGATAAGGAGACTGTGTCATACCATTAAACAAAAACAAAAATATTCTGAATTGTGTCAATTTTTCGACTCTCTGTGATGGAGCCAAAAGAAGGAGATCAGTGGTATAAAACATCTGGTTCCAGAAAAGGAAGAATGAGAGACTGAGAGTCTGATAATTGGCTGATTAAGCACATTTAGGCCTACGATTGCTGCTGCATCCATGTCACTGAAACATCTCCATCACTCCCCCCCAGCCCCCCTTAATTCAACCCTTATGTCAGTATAAGGCTCATAAGTGACCTTCGCACTGTTTCTGGATGGAAACAGCTGCTTACATTCTTATTATAACAACACACGGTAACTGTAAATGTCATTAATGTGAAATAACCAGTGGAAATAAAAAAAAAAACCCGTCAAAAGCGAGCTATTCTGTGTTTTTGGTGGAGCAGCCAGATTCATCGATCGTACCAAAGCCCAGGCACTTAATAGGAGCCAAGAGGTCACTCTCGCAATCAGCGTGATTTTTTTCTCGTCACGTAAATAACCCGGTTCTCGGGTTACATTTCATGTCAGCGACGGGAAGGGCTAAGATCTCGAAGAAGAGTCCATCAAGGCAGTCTGGGGTTTATTTCCATTATAAAAGATTTCTGAATATAAATCTTTGCATTTCATTCAGCCTTTGTATTTACAGAAGACAGTTAATAATAATAATAATTATAATATCTAAAAAAAAATGGGGTGTATTTACAGGTCGGCCGTGATGACAGACTCAGTGTACTTGTGTCTGGTGGAGTCTACCAGCAGGCTGGCTTGTGTGGAGTCCATCTGAAGTGCCTTCTGGGTCATGTGACTGAAGACAGGCACCGCCCCCGCGGCCGGAATGCCGGACAGGGTCATGCAGTGCGACAGAAGGGGAGTGCTAGCATCGTGGGCGGAGCCTGTGGACGGCACGCTGGTCACATGACCGGTGCTGGTGGAGCCGCTGGCGCTGCTGGGCGAGCGGCTTTTTGGGGGCGGGCAGTGTTGTAGCAGCCGGGGGGGGCCCTGGGGCTGGAAGTGCGCGGCGGGGAAGGCGGCGTAGCCTGGAGGGATCGGGTACCCGTTCACCGGGATGAATCTCTGATTCTGTGGCATGGGCGCCGCCACAAATCCGGCAATCTGCCCTGGGGGCAAACCTTGGGCGGGGTAGATGTAGCCGGCATAGCGCGGGCTGCTGAGGTTGCTGACGGGGCTGGCGCTCAGGGAGGTCGTCTGGGTGGTGGCGTTGCCACCAGAGGGTGACGTAGAGCTGCCGTGGGAAGAGAGGCCCTCCCAGGCGCGTAGGCGGGCGTGGATGTCTTTGAAGCGAGGCCGGCGAGCAGGACCCTCCTGCCAGCACTCGGTCATCAGGGCGTACATGCGAGGGGGACAGTCCTCGGGGCAAGGCAGCAGCTGGCGTTTCCGCACCATCTCCATGACCTCCTGGTTGCTGAAGCCGTAATAGGGCTGCAGGCCGAAGCTGAAGATCTCCCAGAGCAGCACGCCAAAGGCCCAGATGTCTGCGTCGGTGGTGAACTTGCCGAAGGCGACGGCCTCAGGGGACATCCAGCGGATGGGCAGCAGGGATTTGGGCTGCACGCGGTAGTAATCGGAGGCGTACATCTCCCGTGACAGGCCCAGGTCGGAGATCTTGACGTGCAGCTGCTCGCCTACTAGGATGTTGCGGGCCGCCAGGTCCTTGTGGACGAAGAAGTGGCCGGCCAGGTACTCCATCCCCGCGGCCACCTGGACGGCCAGGTGCAGGAAGTCGGCATGGTCCAGGCTGGACCTGACGGTGCCGTCTTCATCACTGCTGCAGCCCACGTCTGAGTGCGGTGACCGCATGACCAGGAACTCATGCAGGTCGCCCTGGTTGAGGAACTCGAAGAGCATGCAGACAGGCTGGTCCTGCGTCACCATGCCCAGCAGGCACACCACGTTGGGGTGCTGCAGCTCAGACAGGACCGACGCCTCCTGCTGGAACTCGCCCCACAGCTGCGGGCTGGAGAAGTCCTTCAGGGTCTTGATGGCCACCAGCTGTGGATGCTCCATTCCTGGCCGGTACAGGTGGCCCTTGTAGATCTTGCCGAAGGCGCATTCACCCAGTTCCTCCATGAACCGCACAGCCGACAGGGGGAGCTCTTTGGCTTTGCTCTGAGGGAGGGAGAGAGAGAGAGAGAATGAGAATGAGAATGAGAAACATGGAATGTGAGAAAGAGAAGGAGAAAATGAGAGAGGAAGATACTGAAAGGGCCAGTAGGGTTGAAGAAGAGAGAGAAAGAGAGAGAGACAGAGAGATGAGCAGGAGAAAGGGATAGAGAACAGTAGGGGTGAAAGAGGGAGGTAGAAAGGATGGGAAAGAGGGAGATTGTGATACAGAGGGAAAGAGACAGAATGAGGTGGAGAAAGACAAGAGAAGGACAAACAGAGAGAGAGAATGGATGAGAATGAGAGGGAGATACAGAGTGGGAGAGGGTGAGAGTGGCGGGGGGNAAACAGAGAGAGAGAATGGATGAGAATGAGAGGGAGATACAGAGTGGGAGAGGGTGAGAGTGGCGGGGGGGGCTCTGGCTCTGGCTTGCTGTGCTCCCCTGCCAGCCTGAACAGCACGGCTCGCCCGCCGCTGGGCGCCGCACTATTGAGCACCACCATTACTGTGCTAATGGCGCCCCCCGCTGCCAAGGAGCGACAAATAATACATCATCATTACAGAATTACAGGCACACTTCAGAAGAATAACACTGGTGGACACCATTTGTCTTCTGACTGACATGCATTTGACGGCTCCACGCTCCAGCCTCTCCTAGGGGCGTCAACGTACTGCAGGCGCAGCGGGATCGCGGCCCTCGAACGCTCCCCGTGCGCATAAGAGGTCGGACAGCAGCCTAATATAACAGGGGGATGGGGTCTGTGTTTACACACCGCAAAAGGCCAGCGGGGCGAAACGCCCTTAGGCACAAGCAAAAACATATTCAGCTTCCAAGAAAAGGAGGCATTAATTTCCTCCAGTGACTGGTGTGGAAAAAGTAGCAGCTGGCAAACATGAAACCAGCACTTCTAAACTGGGAGTAGATTCAAACAGAGCTTGAGCCTCTCCTCCCCTGGGCAGCAAATCATCTGGTGCAGCACCTTCTCAAACTGCATGTCCAGCTATACTGCCCCCTTGTGTCGCCCTAAGAAAAGCCCAACTTCCTGTTTTCATGATTCCTTGATTGCAGTTAAGCTCAGAATGTTCTATTGTTGAACTAGACAGTATTTCTCCTTTCAAGATGAAAGTTTAATTTCTTGTCAAAGGTTTGGTGGTGCACTATCCTTAATACGATGTCCTCAGACAGTGATGGACAATTTCATGTATAAAATCTTCATTTCTTTCATATGTCAAACTGGAAAATGAGGAATACATGACTAGGAGGCTAACAGACATACAAAAAAACTGTTTTTTGGAAAACTTTACATATAATCGAAGAGCAAATTTCTGAAACTCAGTCCATTTTTTGTTGTTTTTGAGATTGAGACTGCTAGTGCTTCTTCATATGTCACAGCGTTAAAAACCGAAACTCACTCATACTTCATATATTCCACGAAGAACTTTCATTAAATTTCCTAAAATCATTAAGTCTACAGAAATAGTACTTATTTACAAACCTATCCTGTCCATGTACCCGGTAGAATGAGTGAGTTTTGAATGTTTTTTTCAAATTAGGTTTAACTGAATCATTTTGTGTAAAAGATGTGCTAATGGATCGCCACACACTCTTGTCAAGTACCATGGCACAACTGTTTTGTTTCTATATAAAAACAAACTGAATTTCAAGCTTAATTGTTAAAGTTCTAACTATGTAGGACTAACAGAGAAAACATGAAAACTGGGGAGGTTTTCAGCATTTTTGGGGGTGTTTTTCTAGCCGGAGTTTAAGCAGAATGAACCAAGATGACGTGAGGGTTAATGAAACCTGCTCTGTGGGTGCTTCATAATCTCAGAGCTTTTGGTGTCCTGATCATTCCAGGAGGCTCCAGGTGGACCTTCATGCGAGCCGCCTCGGTAATCTGCAGACGTAATCTGGGAGCCATGGACGGAAGGATCCGGAGATGAAAGGTTGCCTGGGATGGGGGGGGGCACTGACCCCTGGAGGGGAAATTAAATTCCTGACAGAAGCGGCGCTTGGCGGAGTGGGCCCCTCTGAGGAAGGACAGATGTTTCGCGTTACGGGATGCATCCTGGGCCCTGCGCTGAGCCGCCTTCGCTCTCGGCCAAACGGCCGTCATAACCGACGACCTTCAAATGACCCGGAGCCGACGCCCGCTTGATCAAGTTGACACGGGGCCGGAGAAGAGCAGGCCGCGGTGCCCGGGAAGCTGCCGGAGTACCTGCTGACTGATCACCAACGAAAGTACGAGCAGGACTCTGTGTGAATCATTTTCTCATATTGCTGTTCACCTAAATAAACCCCCGGCCCCCTGATGGCATAAGACCACCCTCTGCTTGTTGGGTTCAGCGGTTCTAAAATGCTCCGGGAAAAATAGCAAAATGCAATGGTTAGACGTCATCATGGACCTGACAAGTAAATAAGGTGGATGTTTGCCTCGACTGGTTATTAAAACGAGCTTTAGTGACCCGGCGGCTGGTTACAGGGCTGGATCAGGACACTCCTGAGCCTCCAAAGAGGTTCTCGCAGAAGTCTGAGACTGAAGAATGCACCTTCCTCTTCCTCTCTGCCTGTCATTTGTTGTGGTTGGGATGGACGGCCATGGTCGGGATTTAGGGTCAGACGGTGCAGCATACGAGCCCCACTGTGTGGAAGGAACCCAGACACTATGGGATGGTTACTGCATCAGTGATTCCTGAGTTTTTTTGCTATATCCACATGTTGACACCATGAGACGTGCAGCCATTTGGTTCCTTAATACTCTGGATCAGCCAATTACTCTTGGAAAAAAACACCAGTCAGACAAGGAACCACATCAGTCTTATGTGTGAATGGAACTAATGAGTGGCTGACCAGCTCTATGTAACATCTGCAAAATGCAGAATGATTTTTAAACAAAGAGTATGGAATTCCCTATAGAATGCCACACCGTTTAGTCCAATGAATCTGGGAGAAGTTCTCAAGTTACCAGTGAGTGGAACTGCTTGTTGACTGTGTGGACCATCTGTTGACCCTGTGCTGGCTGTCAATTGATTCGAGCACCTCTTGACCCTTCGTCGATTGTTAATCGACCGTTCTCTCCCCGGTGATCAGTGTACCACTCTCACCTTGGGCTTGTAGGCGGTGCTGAACATTGACATCTCCACGTTCTGGCCCCTGACAGGCTTGGGTTGGCGGGCAGCAGCCGGCCGCGAAGCCTTCTGATTGTTACGGCATACGCAGATGAAGAAGAAGAGGAGGGCGATGGCCAAGGGGATGGCCACACTTGGGACCAGGATGTAGAGGATCTCCATGCTGCCCTTTCCCCGGTTCTCCTTTGAGTCTGACCGGGACACGTAACACAGCATTAGGTCATTGAGTGCTTTTCTCTTGAAACATGAAAGAAGTCATGATGGAAACTATGATACCATCAGACAGATTATTTTACTGCGGGACTTGGCAAATTCTCTGAAAGGCTACGCAGTAAATCAGTTTGTCCTGCCTTTTTTAAAAAATAATTTTCCTGCCAGATTTTTTCCCCAATTTTTATATATACAGAAAGTAAATATTTGAAGTAGTGAGTATCAGCTGGGTTTCGCCAAGGAAACAGGAATGTACAATGCCGTTTATGTATTAAACAGAGCCTTACCTTGTTACAGTAATTTATAACGGAGTTTCGAAGGCCCGGCAGGTACAGCACACTGTGATCAGAATAAATCTAAAACTACACGTGTTTCTGTCTGCTCCAAATTCTGAACTATCTATGGGTCAGTGGAATGAGAAAGACCTGCATATTACAGTACTGTGGACTGTTATTGTGATTCAGGCCTTCATACTACAGTACTCTGGGCTGGTACTGTGATTCAGACCTTGATACTATGGCACTGTTGGCTGGAACTGAGATTCAGGCCTTCATACTATGGTACTGTGATTCAGGCCTTCAAACTTCAGTATGGTTGGCTGGTACGATGATTCAGGCCTTCATACTACAGGACTGTGGGCTGGTACTGTGATTCAGACCTTGATACTATGGCACTATGGGTTGGTACTGTGATTCAGACCTTGATACTATGGTACGAGGGGCTGATACTGTGATTCAGGCCTTCATACTATGGTACTTATGGCTGGAACTGAGATTCAGGCCTTCATACTATAGTACTGTGATTCAGGCCTCCAAACTACAGTACTGTTGGCTGCTACTCTGATTCAGGCCTTGATACTACAGTGCCATGGGCTGTTATTGGCAGGAGAACATGAGCAGGACTCACCACACATAGGGATGTCACAGAGCTCCATGAGAACACCCTCGTCCAGGGTGAAGCACCAGGGCGCCTCCTGCTTGCTGCCCGGGTTCCGGCAGTAGGAGTGGCCTCCGTTCAGCTCCGGGTAGCGAACCGCCAGGTACGTGTGACTGTGGGGATACTGGGAGTTCCAGGGCTGGCACTGGCGACCGGACTTGGTCACACTGACCGTCCCCCGGTAGTCCACACCGCTGCTGTTGAAGCACTTGTGGTCTGATAGGAACAGAAAATAAACATATAGCAAATATAAGCTTCTGTAAACAGGATATCAAACACTTTGCTACATCCAGGACTGTTCAAAGCTCATGTGACACCCAAGGCGAGCCAGACCACCATCTGAGACAAAGTGAAATCAGCTGGCAAAGTCAACATCTCCTCAGAAGACGCTGCTCTAGGCGGCCGCCTATGTTAACTACTGGGATGACTGGCACTGCCTATATCCAACCAACTATCCATTCGTCCATCTCCCAACCACTTTACTGGTAGAGATTAACAGGGAAGGCATGGAGCCTATCCTACACAGCAAAAGGGACACATCAGGGGGACACCGAAGATGGGATGTCTCCGATCTTCTGCTGGACCAGATGGGTGGGGAGGGGGTGGGGCTTACTCTTGTTGATGGGCTCGGCAAGCGGGACGCCGATTCTCATGCAGCGCCCCGCCTCGGGGCTGTCGGGGGGGGGTAGGTCCTCACAGTTGGGCAGCTTGAGCCGTTTGAGGATGGCGGGGTTCGAGCGGGCGATGATGTACTCCGTCTTGCACAGGTCATTCTCCAGGATCTCGCACTCGTCCCGGCAGAGGTCACGCGGCCGGTCCACCCCCGAGCTCCGGTCACACGCCGGGAAGGCAAAGTGACACAGCGAGGGGATGGCGAACTGCGAGCAGCGATCCGATAGGTGGTTCAGGGAGCCAATCATGGTGAAGGCCGCTGTGGGATGCAGGGAAGGGAGGAGGTGAGCAAGCTTCACAGGTTACAAGGATTCACCGTGTGGCTGAGATGGGGACTCTCGAGTTTGCGACTCGGACTCAACTTGCACTCCAGTTGCTCTTAAATTGACTTCCGACTAGACATGCATCTAGTCATTATTTTACTCAGACTCGACTCCTACTATTTGATAATGACTCATGAACAATAAGAGTCTTTAAGGCTCTGTTGAAATTTCTACACATGAAGCATTGAGTGCACAACTCTCTCCAAAGGGTGTAAAGTTGTTAAACACATCAGGGTGTGCAGTTGTGCACGAAGCGTACCCAGATAACACACACATGTTGAAATGACACTGATTCCATATCAGACAAAAAGGTTGAAACAACGTTGATCTTCAATCTTTCACTTTATATGAACATTGAATCAAGGTTTTGCCACCATCAATTTTTCAATATTGAAAATCTGACCAAAAATTAATTCGGTTTCAACGTTGATAATTTAACACTGACCATAATCCAACGCATTTAACTATAATTCAACGTTGAAACAATAACATGATGCTATCTGGGTAGGAACTGGAGCCGGAGAAGCGTGATGCCAGGCGATACCAATAAACAACACGCTCTTTCTGTTCTGCCACTAGTCTTCATCATAATGTTATTTTTCAGAAAGTATTAATTTTGAAACCTACATGAAATATGATAAGGTTCTTACAAAAATTTAACTGCTTCAAAGACATATGAAATAGCGATTACATGTATATAAGCCTAAGCAACTATGAGACATGCAGTTTTTGTTCAAGTGGTGATTAGTCGCTTCAGTTACTAACAGAAAGAAAAACAAATAGGCGGGTAAATTTTTGATAAATAATAATGTCAAACTGGAACCACGGAGGAGACTTCTGACTTGACTCGGACTCTAATTTTGTGACTTGTGAAGATCTCTGCCTTGTGGTTTACCAAAATTCACCAATCAAAACAGTTTCCAACATCGTTTATATTGGATGGATGTGTGTCTGCAGTAACAAATCCTCACACATCAGTCAAGAGGGAACTGTTAAGATGATAGAATCCTGCATGTGTGGTTTGTTTACGAATCTATAATCTTCTTTTCAAAATCTTCAGCCACCGTCTGGTGAACAAAGACACTACCAGACAAAGTTGGCCACATGTGTGAGCCATACCATGAGACAGTACGCCTCCAGCCATCTGCTGAACCTGGCCAGAGTTCACATCATCTGCCCGAAGGTTAATACGAAGGTACGTCATGAACATGTGTCTGGGGTGAAGATGATTCCAGAAGTATCATGAGCTGATTAACTTGCCATTTTATATTTATCGTGATTAAAGGCATGTCAAGGGTCAGGCAATGAGCCCATATGGAAGCTGGGGGTTTGAATGAGGGGTGAAACGTTGGAACACCGATACCTGTGATCTGAGTCTCAATCTCGCCCTGCATCTGCAGAGAGTCCACGAAGATGCTGCGGTTGCCAATGAAGCGGGCACATGCGATGCCCCTGTAAGGCTGGCAGAAGCCCTCCTCATCATACTCGTCCCTGGAGGAGGCACAGAAAGGTGGACGGGGAGGAAGTCAAGAAGTGAGCTCGTGCTGCTGAATGCTTGTAATTCACAAGATGGCCACTAGAGGGCAGTAGGTGTAGCCACATTAGTTGCGTGCGGCTGGAGCTGCCGATTCCACAGGCTGCCGCAGCAGATATCAGCATGCCCAGCTCCCATCTGCTCAGGGAAGATTCATTCTGCATTCTTACGCCTCCCAATGATATAATTATTCCGATCCGAAAAAAACAAGGTCCCATTGTGCTGTCTTACCATTCGCGCAGAATTACAGACTGCTTTGATTTTTCGAAGGAGCTTGTCATTACCTGTAATTTCACAGATTCTGCAGCGGGGCAGCAAATTAAACATGCCACAACATACATGTGCAACCGTAACACTCATGCCGGAGCCTTTATCAGCGACTGACTGAACTCATCGGAAGCGTCACTCAGAAATCACGTGACTCCCATTCCCCTGGAGACGAGGGAAACTGTGAACAGGCAGGTTTTTCTGAATGAAACTCCAGGCCGGGGTCTGATTTATTTATGACAGATCACCTCCAAACGAGCACATGTGTGTTTTGATAGATGAGTCAGAGCTGTAACCATACATACCAGCCCCATTGCTAGGGCTGTTTTCATGGAGCTTTACCCCCCCAAAAATGATCTTTAGCCCCCCCCCCCAAAAAAAAAACTGCACTAATTAATTTAAAGTCTGTCATTTTCACTAATATACGTTTTCATCAGACCTCCCCCCCCCCCCAGTAAAGGCTTAAGCCCCCCTTTTCATAAATCTTCAGTGACACCCCTGATACTTGCAATCTCAAAATGAAATAAAATCCACAAGGTAACACAAAACTCCTTTTCCATCAGGGCAGAAAAAAGGGATGTGGGCAAACAGCAAGTGGATTAAGGGTAAAAAATTAGGAGCAAACAATAGCTTTCACTGGGGTCCTGTTAATTTGTTCTATTTTGCCTTACTTAATATAGGGGTCCGGGTGCTTTTTATCTGGCATTCCGTTTTCTATAATCACTTAGCCAATGCCTGGATCTGTCTCACCATGCTGCAGAAACACCCGCAGCACTCTGATACTATGACGTCTGTGTCTGCAATCAGAAGATCTGGTTGCTCTTTTTATGTTTTTTTTCCCCCAAAGTGAAATACACTTTTGCAAAAGCAGAGTCAGCCAATGCCTGAAGCTAAGGGTCATTCTCAAGGTCCCAACAGAGAAATGACTCTATACTGCTGCTGGGATTTGAACCGGCTACCTTCCGATCACCAACACTAACCCGCTGAGTCACACATCAACAGCCCATAGAAGCGCTGCCTAAAAATGAGTAGAGAAAATGGTGTGAAAATACACCGGTGTGCGACTCATCACTCATAAATGAGGAGAACGAGACCTGGGCAGCCAGTCTGTGCGGCAGGCAGGCGGGACCCGGCCCGGACACTCTGCCGGGTGCCATCGAGGGAGAGAGACAGTGTCATCCAGACAGCCCCACAGAGGCTGCATCACAGCCACAGGTGTGGCGATAACAGTCACCCGTGAATGCAGAGTTGTGGCCAACTGTTAGGGAGGGGGGTTTTGTAGACCAGGTGAAAAGAACCCCTCCGGATCAGATTAAAAAAACAGTAGGTCCACGTACCCAGAAGCCTCCTCACTCTTCCTCCTGTCTAGCTTCTCCCTGAGCTCTAGCAAAGTCTCCATCCTTGACCTTGGTCCTTAGTTGGGGTGGTAGTGGAAGGGGGTTCTATAAAAGCTACAGCTGTGAGCACTTAAGGCCCGGCCCCTGCTAATGGACCGAAGATAAACCTCGGCAGATTTATGATCCCGTCATCCGGGGAAAACACAGCCCATGCTCTCCAGGGGGTTGTGGGTAGGTGGGCGGGCCCAGAGGGCTGCACGGTGACGGGCCCGGGGCCTGGGACTGAGCTCCACCCCCTGTACTCTGATTTGCCCTGTCACATTTGACGAATGAGCCTAGCAACCAACTGAAGCTTAATGGGGCGGGGAGACAGTCATGATTGACTGTCGTCCACCATGGTGTGAGCCAATCATCACAGCTTCACACCTTATTCACAGAAGCAAAATAACAACGGCCACATAGAGAAATAGTCACATGATTACTCACTAATGTAGACCAGCATCTGCCTATGTGTTACACCATTTTTTCCTTAAGAACGATTTAGCTGTGATATTACATTTTACTATGGAACCACAAATCAAATAGTAATGAGGATTTAAAAGCTGTTTTTTTAGCATTTCCAAACCATGCCGGCATTGTTCCCTTCGGGGGTGAGGGGAGGAGTGTGTGGTTTTCAGTGATTATCCTCCCACCTGCTGCATGTTTCTCCAGTTATGCATATAACTGCCCCCCCCCCGGCCCCCCACCCACTAAGCCCAGACTGGGCAATAGCTTAGCAGGTCCCGATCACCCAGGCAGTGAGCTGTACCTC